CATCTCTCAGCAGGACAAGGGAGCAGCACCCACCAGGTTGTGCTGGGCCTGCAGCTCGATCTCCAGGGCGTTGACGGTGCGTCTCAGCTCGATGATCTCGGCCTGGCAGGACTGCAGCTGCTCCGAGCTGGACACCACCTGCTTGTTGAGCTCCTCCGTCTGAAACAGCCAGAGAGCAGAACACAGATTGGGGATGAGAGCCTGCCTCAGGGCACGGGGGCTTCGGGGGCAGAAGAGGGCCACGTGCTCAGATGCCCACCTGCGTGGTGAACCATTCCTCCACGTCCCTGCGGTTGGTCTCCACCAGGGCCTCATACTGACACCTGGTCTCGTTGAGCACCCGGTTCAGGTCCACGGTGGGGGCAGCGTCCACCTCCACGTTGAGACGCTCGCCGATCTGGCTGCGCAGGGTGTTGACTTCCTGATAACAGCAAGAGGAAGAAATGAATTCACAGAAATGGATCTGCTACCTTGCAGCTATGGGAAAAGTGAGCCCAACCCTGCCAGGAGTATATGCAAAGCTAGAAGGAACAGAAAGGCGAACATATATATCATGTTGGAATAAAATCAGATTGGAATCACATCAACTCCTTTCTCAAAAAAATAAATAAATCTAGAATGATCTCACATTTCCAATAGGACTAAGTCCCAACTCTTTGGCTTTTACCTCATGGCCCTTACCTCTTTGCCCAGTCACCCTGCCTCATTGGCCACCCTCAAACGCACCCTGCTCTTCCACTTCCATGGCTGTACTCCGCCTCTTCCCTCAGACAGTCACACCCAAGTGTTGGAATATTCCTCCTGCTTCAAGACATGTTTCTGAAGGGAGTTCCCTATCTCCTTTGGGGCCGAATGAGTTATATCGAGACCATGATGCTCCTCTATCGCATGCCGCTTTGCTCTGCCTCTTACTGGGCTATTTTTCTGCACTCCACTGTGAGCCCTTCAGTGCAAGGGACCATTTCTTATCGCCTCTTTTCCCTCCATCTCCACAGCCAAATTCAAGAACTCACAGGGACCAGCAAGGAAAAGGGGTCGAGAGTGTTTTTTCTCAATCTCTCTGACACTTACCCAACTCGAAGCCAACACCTTGGCAGCTCACCTCTCTCTTGATATGATCATAGTGTATCCTTCCCTGACCCCAAAGTGAGTTCTTTGGAGCAGGGTCCCAGGCCAGGGAGACTGGCACGCGTAGGCTCCCATGGTAATGACTTAGCTCCCACGCTTGCCTTTTGATTTTCCTCTCACCTCCTCGTGGTTCTTCTTGAGACACAGCAGCTCCTCCTTCAGGGACTCCACCTGCGCCTCCAGGTCGGCCTTGCACAGGGTCAGCTCATCCAGGATCCTGCGCAGGCTGTTGATGTCGGCCTCCACCAGCTGCCGCAGGGACAGCTCCATCTCGTACCTTCAAACACACATGGAACCGGAGAATGATCCAGGAAAGAATGCCAATTTATACTTGACTCTCTGATTGTATTTACTCTCTGTCTCCTGCCTGAATGTGTCAACTCGGCTCCCTCTGGTTCTGTACACATGAGCTGGAAAGGCCTCCTGACTCTTCCTAACACCCACAAGGCACCCGAGGGGACTCCATGTCTCCCTGCCCTCTCCACTGTGTTTATCACCAAACCGATCCTTTCTCCAAGACCAATAGATTTCATTTTTGGAATTTTAGAAGCCCTTTCTGAAGATCAGGTAGATTGAAAACCAGATCCCTGTTTCAACCCTAATAAAATCAACCCTAAAGAAATCCGTCCTGAGAGGAGAAATCAAAAGGAGGAAATGGCATTCTCCCTTTTCAGGCAACATTGGACCACGGCCCATGAAAGAGCCTTGGCAGTTCCTAAGCCCAGAAGTCTCAACATACTTGGTTCTGAAGTCATCAGAGGCCAGCTTGGCATTGTCAATCTGCACCACCAGCCTGGTATTCTCAGACTTGGCACACAGAATCTGAAACCAAGATTCTAAAGTGAGGATCACTTGAACTTGAGAACATCGTATTGTTCAAAGAGAGCCAGTATCCTCTGAGCTCCTTCAAAGCCCACGCCCTCACCTTCTGCTGGAGCTCCTCGATGGTCCGGAAGTAGGACTGGTAGTCCGGGCACACGTAGGGCACCTGCTGCTGGCACCACTCACGGATGCGGCCCTCCAGCTCCGCGTTCTCCCGCTCCAGCTGCCGCACCTTCTCCAGGTAGCTGGCCAGCCGGTCGTTCAGGAACCCCTGCGGTTGGTCTCCACCAG